CTGATTCAGAAGTTGACTGATAAAAACCTGGATGTGCTCAGTTTTTGCACAAGGTCATAGTAATCTATTTCAGTCATAGTGATCTATTTCACCATCACTTCAAACTGCTGTTAGCGTTTCCAAACAGCTCATTGGTCGTTACTCCACTCACTCAGCTAAATAAATGCTGAGGTGTAACTGTTGGGTTTGATTCAGGTGTCCCTACTGGGCTTCCATTGAATAGACTGGAGTTAGCATGTTCTCCCTGAGAGTGCCTGGGTTCTCTCCAGGTACTCCAGCTTCCTCCCACAGTCCAAAAAAGTACTGTTAGGTTAGTTGGCTTCTCTAGATTCTCCTTAGGTGTGAGTGTGAATGGTTATTTGTCCTGCCTGTCTATGTGTTGCCTTGGCGACCTTTGGTGGACCCCGCCTCTCACACATAGACCGCTGGAGATAGGGACCAGCACCCCTCGGCCGCCCAGCAGGGATAAGCGTGAAGGAAACTGGATAGATTGGTGATTCTCTTCTGTCAGATTATTACCTGATTAGATGGAGAAAAACTCTGACGAGCTTTTAGCGGAGAATATTCCATAGGGTGTCCGCCATGATGGATCACATCTTTAGGCTCTGCATGGCGTAGGGGGGTCCGGGGGAATCCTCCCCTGGAAAATGTTCAAATTTAGACTCTGAAATGTTATTTCCTGCGTTTTGAAGGTGGAAAGCAGCTAACTTTGTCTTTGTTCTAACTCTAGTTTCCTCCTGATTATGGGAAGAATGTGAGCTAGACCAGAGATGGAAATATTATCAGCAAGATATGAGATCATTTTAGCCTCAATATTATGTTTCATAGGTTCATTCAAACAATCAGAAAGTGTAACTTAAACTTACTGCTAAAGGTGAAACGTTGTGTGTAATGACAAGTATGTTATGTTAATATCTTTTTAATGTAGATAAGTAGCACTTTAAAGGGACCTTTGCACTTTGTTAAAGTCGTAGGAAGATCATATTTAGATGTCAAATCATTCTGGCTTAAACATGTATATAAATGTTCTCTTCATCAGATGATATTTTCCCAAAGTTTAGAAAATTCGTATTTAAAAAAAAAAATCCTCTCTTAAAATCTGTTTTTTTCATGTTATCTTCTGCAGGCCAGTTATTTATACCTCAGCCTGAACACCTATATTCAACCAATCACGCAGGCACCTCTTCAATTAATAGCTGTCTAATGGATTTACCATTAGGACCCCCCCCCCCAGTTCATCAGCTGGGCCTGTTTTTAGCTGGAGGCTGAATGCTGTGAAGCTCAGTAAACCTGCTGATACCTTCAGTTTGCCTGACAATTTCATTTTATGGATAAATTCCTGATCCGATTCAAAAAGCGTCTCCTGGCTTCAGTCTTCATTCACTCACCGGTTCCTCGTTCTCAGTTCTGATGTTCTTCCTCACTTTGGAACCCATTGATTTAATGTTTCATCAAACTAACTTTAATGTTTTATAAAAAGAGGCGAGTAAATATAAAAACCGTTTTTAAATGATTACGGCTCCTCAGGATGTTCTGATGGAGAGCAGAGCGTTCAGAGTGACGCTTCAAAGGTTTCACTAGTTATCGTTACCGATCACAGTAACTAGTTACCAGGCCGGCTAACTGTGCTGTTACTGCTTACCTGATATTCTAGCATCACTTTCTTGTTTTTCAATTTTAGATTCAACGAGTTTAATTATTAAAATGTTTAATATTGATTAATAAATTTACTTTAAAGAGAAATATATCCATTTAGTAATTACTGATCGAATTCTATAAATTCAAAATGAAAATAATGATCCAACCTTCCATCCAACCAACCATCCATCCACCTGTCCGTCCATCCAGCCATTATCCATTCGTCCGTCTGCTCATCCAGGCTGTTAGCAATGCGTATGCCCTGTTT